AGGGTGCACAAACCGATTGGTGTCGGCGGCCCAGGTATTGGAAACTGCTGCTCATGAGCAGTGATCGTCTTGGCGCCACACTCGGCGCCGTTGCGTTCACAGGCAGGCTGACGCTTAGATGCCTAATATACAATGCTTAATTGGCAGGCCCAAGGCCAACCTATGTACTCACATGATGGAGGCGTATTCTAACAGAAGCGCACAGCACACCATCCGCTGCAGAGAGCAGAGATCTCGTCGCGTGTAGTATACCTACTTCAGACTGGGTAGTACCGCCGAGAAAATTGACACAAATTGAAAATGCGCTGTTTGAGGGAGATGCTGCTCTATGCTCAGACAGAACATGATGCTGTATTCAGTAACTTTGGATGGTATAGAGAAAAATCTGGTCTACTTCGTCTTCTTTCGTCCAATCGAAAATCAATCTCTTTTTAGGCGTTCGCGATCCGTTGGTCATGCATGACTTTGTAGACTATGACCCTGGTCAACACAGAGAGAGAGGGCCAACTGCAAACGGCCCTAAGGAAACGTTGAATGGGACTTGTGAAGCGCTTTTCTGTCCTTGAAAACCTCGCCTGGTGTAATGCTCAAACAGACTTTGTTCTCGAGGCCGGCTTCGGAGGCAAGTAGCACCAGCGGTGCAAGATTTAAACTACGAATTCCCAATCAACCAAATCAGCTGGTCACAATGACGCTGGCCAACATCTAATCCAGTTCTGTAATGCGGCATTTGACAGTATAAATATTAAAGAATGGCAACAAGCGCCAACATGGCAGGCTTTAAAGCATGACTTCGTTATCTACCCCATCAGATGGTTGCAGCGATGCTGGCCTACATCTACTCCAGTTTTGGAATGGGATATTTGGAAGTATAAATTATAAAGAATTACAACAAACAAGCGGTGTCAACAAAAGAATCGACTTCGCTCCGCCGGTGAAATTATCATGCGGAATTACGAATGATGGAGGCAATCACACAATCGAGGAGAATGCTGGTGAAATGGAAGAGCATGTAGCGACAAACTTCACTGGCGTAGGCTGCAAAGCACTTAAGTA